TTCTATCTATGTCAACTTCTGTTTTTGTCTCCCTCTTTAGTCTGACTGTGTTTCAAACGATTCCCATCTGGTCTCGCTCAGAAGCAGTGAGGAGCTAATTTTTTTGAGAACTCTGGTGTACATTGCGAATGCAGACATTGAATCTGTCTGGACCGGGGGCTATAATACACCTGAGGTGAGTGACTTTACAGATAGACAGATAGATGTTGGTAGTACTGTATAGGTTTGAGTATGGAAAATTGACTGTTACAGGATTCAAAGTCTGAGCTGACCTTTGTCTATGCTACTTGCTGCCACAAGGGGGCCAAATTACAAGTTTGTGTTTTTTTAGGTTTTATTTAACAAGTAGGCTATTGTCCCAAGTTGATGAACTGGTTTTAAACTCAAATTCAATAAGAGCAAACTGCAATGTACTACTAAAGTGGCATATTTTGATGGGTTCAGTCATGTTAAAGGGTTTGTTTGACATTTTGGGAAATATTCTTTTTGTTGCTTGGAGTTAGATGAAAAAATTGAATACCACTGCCACATGTGTGCAGTGCTATAAGTACAGAGCTCGAGTCAGGAGGTGATTAACTATAAATACTAGGAACAGGAGGAAACAATGAGCCTCACTCTCTCAGAAGTAAAATAAACAATTGTGCTTTCCACTAATGGCTTCCACCACGGCTGTATTTTGAATTAGCTGCAGCAGGGTGCAACGATGCTGCTGTGACTCCTGTTTGCCTCCAGATCCTACCAGCCTGCAGGTTACCCCCCAGGCTGCTGCTATCCACTACCCACCTAGTAGAATTACATCACACAGCTAAATAGACAGGTTGTAGCTTAAAATAGAAATAGACAATATGACAAGTGTTGCTAACTAGCATCATAAACATCTATTGTCTCCGACTGAATAATAAGACTTAAAAAATAACCATGAGAAATAAGACAAGATCAAGAAAACTATTTTTGCATTTAGGGGGTGTTACTGTGTGTAACAATTTCTTGATGAACAATTATCTTGTTCAGTGTCTCTAGTGGTTGCTTGGCAACCTCACTGTGATGACAGTCCTGCCCCAGGCCGTTGTTTGTTAAGATATATAGAGCATCTCCACATCTTTCCACACATTGTTGTGATATTTGTGTTCAGATTAAACAAAAAGTGCAATTCAGTGAGCTAAACTATACTATACCATGCTACAGAAAACACTCTGGTGTCCATTAAACGCCGCTGCTACAATAACAATACTTATGATTCATAATACATCAAGTCACTAGTGAAACTACCATGGGTTAAGCTGATTACAGGCATAAAAATGGATAAGGATTTAAACACAGACCCTGATTTTGGACATGGTATAAGTGTTATAATGCTTAACCTTAAATAATTTTTTTTGGGCATGTTGAAAGAGGTTACTTTGCTTAAAGTTACATCACATCCTTATTGCCACTACTGTAATGTCCTGTCCCCCTCCCTGAGTTTTTGCATGGATCAACTGTTGTGTGGCCCCAGAATGCAGTTTAGAGCAATGTGGTTGTCTTAATCCTCAAAAAGGCTTGTGCCAGCCCTTTTCACAGCCATGAAGATTTTGTTACTGAACCTTTACAGTGTTCACAAAGCAAAGTTCAAAGGTAAATGTTCTGAAATTAAGCTTCATCTTTCAGGATGAGGAATGGAAGTGGTCTGATGGTACCACGTTCCCTCAGATCATCTGGAACTGGGGGGAGCGAAACGTTGACACTGGGGGAAACTGCATGGTGATGAACATCCCAGGTACATAATTATTATTTGTTGACATTTTGGTTGTGATTCCTCTTGAGAGGGAACTTTAATCTGTTTTCAACAATACATTTTAAAATGTTATTGTTTTGAAAATTCAATTAAATTCAATTTTATTTGTATAGCGCCAATTCATAACAGAAGTTATCTCAGGACACTTTTCAAATAGAGCAGGTCTAGACCGAACTCTTTAACATTAATTACAGAGACACAACAGTACCACCATGAGCAAGCACTTGGCGACAAGGGCAAGGAAAAACTGCCTGTTAAAAGGCAGAAACCTTGGACAGATCCTCCGGCTCTAGGTGGGTGGTCGTCTGTCTCGACCAGTTGGGGTGAGAGAGAGAGAGAGAGAGAGAGAGAGAGAGAGAGAGAGAGAGAGAGAGAGAGAGGCGACAGACAGACAGACGCACAGCAACAACAGTATTGGCAATGGCAGTCAAGCAGGACCATGGCAGGAGGCTCCACCAGGATCCATGAGAACCTGCGAGACGAGAAAGCACAAGAACTCCGGGGAAGAAGTGGAGTTAGTAACATGCATTAAAGGGACATGAATGAGTGCAGAAAGAGAGAGGAAGAGAGTAGCTCAGTGCACCATGGGAAATCCCCCGATAGTCTAGGCCTATAGCAGCATAACTAAGGGATGGTTCAGGACTCACCTGATCCAGCCCTAACTATAAGATTTATCAAAGAGGAATGTCTTAAGCCTATTCTTGAATGTGGTGAGGGTGTCTGCCTCCCGAACCACAACTGGAAGCTGGTTCCACAGGAGAGGAGCTTGGTAACTGAAGGCTCTGGCTCCTGTTCTACTTTTAGAGACTATAGGAACCACAAGTAGCCCTGCATTCAGAGAACGCAGTGTTCTAGAGGGGTAATAGGGTACTATGAGCTCTTTAAGATATGAAGGGGCCTGACCATGAAGAGCTTTATAGGTGAGGAGGAGGATTTTAAATTCAATTCTACATTTTATAGGGAGCCAATGCAGAGTAGCTAGTACAGGAGAGATGTGATCTCTTTTTCTAGTTCCTGTCAGTACTCGTGCTGCAGCGTTCTGAATTAATTGGAGCCTTTTAGAAAAGAATTCTTTGTGCAGATGAAATGCCTTCATATGTTAATGTTTTGTGCAATTTCTTTTACCAGTGTCCGAAGGTGTTTATTTTGATGACCTGAAGTGTTCAGAAGAAAGATCTTACGTCTGCAGTAAGAACATGTAATGGCCACCAGGTCGCATCCTCCACAATGATGACATCACTCCCACTGAGATGTCAGGCCTCGATGACATCAACGCGGGAAAGTTTATTGCTAATTGTGATCTGCTTCCAATTCACTTTATTTTATTCTCAATGTAACAACAATCTCAGACCAGAACTCAACACTTCAGTCTGCAGATTTTGGTTTCATTTAATAAACTTTACTTGTGAATTGAAAGTGAACTTAAAACTACTTGCATTCAATAAAGACAAAAAATAAATAAATTCTATTACTGTCATTTCTCATATACTATACACATCCAGGTTAATATCTTGTAATAGCCCAAATAATAATAATAATAATAATAATAATTATAATAATATGAAAGACCTGCTTACCTCACCTTTGTAATTGTATTGTAATATTCTGAACAGGCCCTAACGATCACTTTCATCCAGGATATAATTTTTTTAGGTTAGTTTCCCTTGCACAATGTAAATTTGTACTTGGGCCCCTAAACAAATAGTTTACATTTATTATCAGATAACAACAATAACCCTCTTAGCTGTACACGAGACGTTGTTGGCTCGTGATATGGTGCTCCAGTGATTGTTTTTTTCGGAAATGTGCAAACTGCGCAATGCATAATTAAAGTTTCTCTAACATCCTGTATTGCCACCCAGTTAAACTCCTGGCTCCGGGATAACTGAAATGCTCGCTTGGGCTTCTGCTTATAAATTTTGTCTGTATCTGTCGCCATTTTCTGGTGCCCAATCTGTACTTTACATGTGCAACGTTCAACAGAGATGAGGAGGAAACAAGATGGCTCAAAGCCTTGTGAACACAGATGGTTCTGTATTAAGTATTTTTATATGTGTCAAATAAAGTATAATTCGATTCACAAAAAATGTGATGATTATTTGCACATTAGGCTGATCATTTGCAGACAATTTAAGCAAACAGACATTGACATTATCATTATCCTCATTATCCTCCCTATTACCATAGCCACCATCGCTGTGTTAAATCAGAGAGAACTTCAATTGGCTCCATGTTAAACCACAGCGAACATGTTCCTCCCTGGCAGATGGTAAAGTTTGTAAGAAGTAATTTGAAAGTCTCGAACTGGATCCTCTATTGATTAAAGAATGAGTCACTAAGCTGTGAGGTCTGCCTGACAGGCTGCACCTGCTCAGCTTGATGTCGAACACTGAATGATTATCCGATCTTTCAAATTTGAAAGTGCACAGATATTACAAATTGTTTAATTTGTGGATGAAGGATTTGTAGTTGATTAATCACATTTCTGTTTAAGAGTAAGAACATGTAGATTCAAATGATGTCTAATATGCTTTCATTATCATCTATTATGTTTTGTACATGTATAATACAGATGTATTCAGTGTTTAACTTGTGTGTGGTCCATTAATTGATAGTTTACCTTAATGTGTCAAAACATGTTTCAAGGCACACAAGTAAAAGCTTTTTAGTCTGTTTCTCACTTTAGTTCCTATCCTCTGGTTTGCTTCCTCTGTTCTTGTCTGTCCTCTGTGGTTCTGAGTGTTTTCTCCTGTTTGAACCAATTGATTGCGAAGGCACTTTTCCCCTTGTGAACGACAGCTACAGCCTGTGTGGAATAGAGTTAAAACCTATGTAATTCCACAGCCTCTTTGACTGTAACAATGTCTCTTTTATGTCTCTTGCTGTGTAGGGATACAATGGCTAATTTTCCACTTGGAAACATTCCCTTCACCTTTTAGCTCTTCTTGTCTTTATTTGTCTGTTTCTGTCTCTCTCTGTGAGGGATTCACTCTCAGGCCCATTGGTCTGTAACGCACACCTCGGGGGGAAAAAAAAGCCACCAAATTATTCAATTATTCATGACATATTTTTACTTGCTCCCATTAGTCATCACACACTGATTCACCAAATCTGTCTGTCCAGGAAAAGACTTAGCAGAGATGAAAGATTCGTCTGACTGTTAACCTCGGAAACTTTAGTCTTCAAGGAATTCATTCTTGATTCTTGTGTTTTTTTTGTTTTGCAGCAACGTGGACACAGATGAACTCTGTGGTAAGTTGGTCCTTCACCTAAATAAGAACTTTTAATATCAGTTATATCTTACTTAACTTACCTCCCAGTCCCGAGCACCATGGACGCAAATGCTATTTGACGTTTTCCCAGCATAAGGAAAGAACCATGTTAGATGTGGTCACATGCTCTATGCTAAAACCCCTACTGGCTGTGACTGAGATGTCACACCAATGCTGCTTCAACAAAACACCTACAGCCCTGTCCTAGCTGTGTAACTCAAAAAATGTTTTTTTTTGTCTTTCTGCTGTGAAGAGTATTTCTCCCAGCACCTCGGTGAATATGAGAATGTTCTCGCTGCCTTAGAAGACCTGAACATGTCCATACTGAAGGCAATGGACAAAACAAAGAAGGTAAGTTACTGAAAAGCTAAACTTGCTTTTATCAACATTAAACAGTGTTTTTACATATCTGTATTTGCAATATATCTGTATTTGGGTATTATTTAGGTTTTCACTGGAAGATGTTTTAGAAATTGACCAGAATGCCTCTATGTGGCATTGTTTTCTACTGCTGTTAATGCTCAAAATATACAAAAGTAACCAAGTTAATCAAGTTATTCAAAGAACAAAGCATAATTTGTAACTGAACCCTATAAGTCCAAGCTGTGTTTAAATAAAAGCTGTGTAAACTGTTAATAATACAGGTGGAAATCTAAAAAATACAAGCCAGAACTGAATATTTCTTTAAAAATGAGAGGTTGTATGTTTAAGGGTCAAGCTAAATTTACTAATTATCAGTAAATACACTCTACAGCTGAGGCTGATGGGAGTCCCACATTTTCAGGTTTTGGGTCATAAACCAAAGTATTGGACCAATCAAAACTTTAACCTGCTGATGTAGCTAGAGGAAAGGTCAGAGTATCTTCAAACTAATCAGCATTACTATTCAATGTCTACACAAAATCTTCAATTCATCAAATGGATTTTGAGATATTTCACTGAATAAATGAAAATGTTGACCTGTTGGTGGCGCCAGAAGAAAAGTCAGAGGATCACTATAGTCGCCAGGGTTCATCCTCTTGGCATATCTCTGCATTATCATCTCTAGTACCATCTAAAAATAACACCTGTGCAACATCAGTCAAAGTTTTCTTGCACTGCACAACAAACCTGATCAAAACTTATTGAGAATGAACCTCGCTGAATATCTGAATATAAAACTTAAAACACCATAAGGTTTATGTTTGTCTACATCTTGACTAATCTGCCTCATGGAAAGTCATGCTGCTTTGGCTACTAGCTGTTCCCGGTCACACTTTACAAACAATAACCACCTGGATTACTTTTAAATACTCAAGAAATAGCCTGAATCGATGAGCCACAATCATTACATATAATTGGATTTATTCATTCTTGGTGGATATTCAAGATCCTAACTCCACTGCAAAGAGTGAGTTAGCAGTGTGTGTGTGTGTGTGTGTGTGTGTGTGTGTGTGTGTGTGTGTGTGTGTGTGTGTGTGTGTGTGTGTGTGTGGGTGTTTCATTTGGACTTGGAGTTATAATTCTGTAAAGAAGGGGTGTGACATTTGCTGCGAATTAATCAGGAAAATAATTTTATTATACTCATACACAGACACTCACACTGACATGTCATGCATGCGGTGCGCATAATGATAATAATAAGAGATGTTTGATTTACTCACAGTGTGGCCTCAACTTCACGCTGCAGATCTCTCCCAGCAAGCTCCTCTGCTGCCCAGCTGGCTTCCTCAGATCTCCCATTAGTCAGATTTCCATTACAGAGCCGAAAAGGACTAGCCAGGGCTCATTCATGCTACTAATTAACCTCCAGAACAAAACATGTTATGATTCCCTTTTGGACTTGGAGCCAACATAGACGAGGAGTTAAATGGGTTGTAGCAGCGTTGCCAAAAAAATACTGCTTTTGATCATGCTTTGGGAAAAAAAGCTTTATGTCCTCTTGATCTTACTGTAGAGCTGTGGTTCAAGCTGAGTACCTTTAACATTATCAGAGAGGAGAAGAAGAGGGATGAGGGTTTGAGGGAGAGAAAGGCAAACAGACAGAGATGGAGGTAAATGATAAGACACAAATGATGGAGAGAAATAGGAAAAAGGGTGTAAGGATGAGGAAGAGAGGTGGCTTATTAGATCTGCAGGGACAGCTTCTTTTTCTTTCTCTGTAGTATTTAATCTGGCACATATGACACACGCTGCGAAGCTAAAATCGCCCCTCAGATCTGCACTGAAGCAAACATGTCTCGTTGTGGCTCCTGTAAAAACAGAGAGTGGGAGTCAAACCGTTCATTTGTCAGTGGTAGTTTTTTATTAGCACAGAAAGCGGAAGAGAACACATTGTGACATCCAACTTCAACACCTAAAAACGGGGGTAAATGGTAACAGCAGGTAATGATTTTGGTTTAGTAAATGACACTTAATGAACAGAAAAAGGCAGCCGAGGGGGGGGATTTTAAGAGGATCTCAAAAGATACATATAAGTGAGCATGCAGTGTAAATAAATAAAGTAGTGGAAAACCAATTTATATCCTTGTAATAACCTTTTCACTCCAAGAGAAAGGTGTTTTTCTTTAAATAAGTTTCAAAAAGGTTCAGACCCGCAGGAGCACAGCATGGGCCTGAAATTCAGCCTTCAGTTCTGCAAAGGACAAGAAACGTACAGATACTTTTTTGCAATCCCTTTGCAATCTTTTATGGACCGCAACATGCGCCAAGCTGTGATGAGGTGCGAAAATCAAATTGCAACCAAAATCATTTTTCTGTTCTTGAAGAGAATAGTAGAGAGCAGGAAGTGAGACTGCAGGAGAGAAAGAGGAGAAACAGCAGAGGCAGTCTGGCTGTGTAGTTTAAGGTTATGTCATTTGAAAAGGGAAAATTCACCTTGCTGTGGACTTTTAAAACCTTTAAAACCTAGTCAGCTTTCATGAAATACACAGGAAAAATAAGACTCCAAATGCCACCGCAGTCAATATCACAAATAAGGTTTTTCATATCAACACACTCTTCATTGTTGTTACCTCACAGACATACAGTACTCAATGGGTAATTGAGCTCAAATGAAAACAAATTGCTCTGCGCAAATTGGACATAATTGAGGAGTTACTGACCAAGGCAATAACTTTGAAATCAAATTACAACACTGGACTGTGGACACAGAGGATTTCACGCTGCTGAAGTGTTTACTCCTTGAAGCCTTATTCATAGTTTTGCCTTCCACAAAGCGCATGAGACGCCATAAATGATTTTCTGTAGCCCTAAAATGAGTCATAGTGTAAGAAAAGAGAGAGAAGATACGTACAGCACGCTGCCTGTCTCAAGTATTGGCTCAACGAGGAAGACAACAGATGCTGTGTTCATCACAGACTAAAGCTCAGCCGTCTATGATGAACTGTGTAAGTATTTGAGTGGGTGGTCTCTGGCTGCGGATGTGTATGAGGGGGCTGGCTGCATGTGTGTGCATTAGCGAGGTGTTTCTTTTTTCTTCTTTCTTGTATTGGAAGATTGTTAGTGTGCATTTGTCTGAGATTACATATGCACAAGCTAATTTGTGTGTGCTTCTGTGTGCACGCATCAAACATCCATGCACATGTGCGGAGGAGCTGGAACAAGATTTTCCATCTAAATTAGAGTCAGGCCTGTATACGTATCAGTGCTGAGACACTCAGGGTTTCATTTTGTACAGATATTTCTGCCAAAGCTATTTACAGGCTCCACATACACAATCTCCAACAGCTTTGACTCTAAAGCCTTCTTTGTAGATCTCAGGTGTTTCTACTACTACTGCTAGCTACCTTCTAGTACCTGCAGCTAGAGGAAGTTGCAGTGTTTTCACACTTATGGTAGTATTGTAGTATTAGGACTACAATATTTTTTTCATAATGCAAAGATTTTTATTCATAAAAATAAAATAATGACAGCAAGAACTGGTAAAATGTGCATATGCATCAAGAGCCAGTTGCACAGCTATTGGTAATTCAGACTTAGCCTCAGAAATAATGTCAGTGTTAAACCAAGGGTAGAACACATTTCTAAATGAAAATAAGTTACACCACACAAACTAGTTTTTATGTGAGAGATTAGATTATTGTTACTAGATATTTAAACCTGTTAACCACCAGGTGTAACTGTTGGGTAGCTAACAAAACCAGCTGGCAAAGCCAACATTAGTTTACTTACATTTGATCCAATGTAATGAAGAGTAAAAGAGCTAATGAGATATAGCTATATATATATATATACACATATATATATATATATATATATATATATATATGATGAAAGGCTAATTAATAATGACATAAACTGGGGTAAAAAACACAATATAGCTCAAATTGCTAATTGTTATACGATAATTATCACAGGTATTTCCCTATGGAAGAGACTAAAACAGAGCAAAAAGAGAATATTGGACCAGTTCTAAATGAACAAATGTTGCTCCATAACTGCTGGATGTGTAAATAAACAACATATTAAATTAAAGCTGGTAGTCTTTCAGTATGTTGTAATTCAAGTGGTCTCAGAGAAAACCAGACTTCTGCACCTCTTCTTTTTTCCGGCTTTAGGAAATCTATTCCGTGATGGGAGACCGATCACAGGTAATTTCGGAGAGAGGGCATTCCCTATTGGTTGTTTTTGCAGGGCAACCGACTCCTCCTGCAGCTGTCCAAACTTGTGGGTATGGTGGGAAGGGCAGAAAGGAGAGGTGGAGGGTTTTGCACATGTTTTGCTTTGCATAAAACCTTTCCAATAAATCTGTGACTTGATACAGGAAGTCACAAGTTTGAAACTAGCCTGTAATTCTTATAAGAAGGAGACTTTCACACAAACTTAATGATGTTAGGAATAACTCGAGCAACCCAGTCCCAATTTTTCCAGTTCTCGTAAATCACTTGAAGGTGGTCGGTTACAAATCCATTTACATTTCAATCAGCTTATTTTTGACATCAGGATTTTAAAAATACTGTGGTAAAGCCATTTGGCAAATGGTGAGGTTTGATTATGTGGCAGGTTGGACTTTATGTAGTCATAGTAATGACTGTAAGGCTCAAAAAGTGTGATTTTAGCAGCGGTAAACTGCCTCCAACAAACTACTCATTTGACCTTTTGTACGACTGAAAATCAAAGATCAAGGGAAAGGCAAAAAGGCAAAAAATAAGGTAGACCTTAAGCTGTTTAAAATGAGTGCAGATTGGTGGGGTGGACACACACACACACACACACACACACACACACACAAAGGTACAGATCACAGGAGGTAATCTATACTCAGATGGTAGACAGGCGAATGACCTTTACCAGTTTTGTCATGACTCACTCTCACTGAGTGAATGTGCGTTCATGTGCAAATGTGTTTGTGCAAGTGTGAGTGTGTTTACTGATAGTCAGAATGTCAGGAGATCAAGCAATACCTAGGACAGTTAACGATTATGGGTTTTTAAAAAAACTGTTACATTGCAATAATCTCTTAGGTTTCGTGCATTTTGTTTCTTGTGAAAAATGTTTAGTACAAACTGTTTCAATCTTTGGTCAGAAATGCTGTTGGACAGACTGATGGGGAAAGACTAATGATCTGCTCTGTATTCTGGAGAAGCTGTTGAGAGATCAGCTCTCTCACGGGAAGACTTCTGCTCAACGCACTGTGATTAGGGTGTGTGTGTGTGTGTGTGTGTGTGTGTGTGTGTGTGTGTGTGTGTGGGTGTCCACTTCCAAAGTCTCATAAACAAATCCCGATTTTAAAACCAAACCATCTTCATTGCACTTTTCTGAAAATACAGTAATTAACAATAGAGACACAAAAAAGAAAAAAAAAGAAAAAGAAAACACACACACATTCAGTATATATTTATTTTATATAATTTACTTTGTTACACACACAAACACACACACACACACACACACGTTACTATTCATGTATTCATCATTCTGTAATTTAACTTGCATTAACGTTTCCCCTCGAACCCCCTCATTGTTAGTCGAGTGCACAAACAGTTTGAGCAGGTGCAGTGTGCAAACAGCAAACTCTGTTGTGCTGAGCATCGTTCACTCTCCTTTGATTAGACAACACTCTGGTCCAGGCACAGCAAATGATGCCTTTCCAAAATGTCATTCAGTTTGATTTATTTTCCCTCCGTTTTCTGAACAAACACAAAAGCCTGCAGAAAATAAATGTGAAAATAAATTCACAAAATGACAAATTGTACCTTGGCCTGAAATACTTGGTGTGGGGGAAATTATTTCTTAGATGTGATTTTGATTGAAGGTGCAAATGATTGTCTCACATTTTTAAAGTTATTTTAAAAATAGTTTAATAATGTAAACATGTTACAGAATGTATGCAGATACCTGTTGCACCAATCAGGGAACAAGATGCTTCATAAAGACTCAGTGGTATATGATTCTTCACAAGAATGATTATTTAAGACCTCAAGTTTCACGAAAACATTGTGATATTATATTTGCCCTTCAATTTGTAATTGCACCCAAATTTGCATCTTTAATCACATCATACAACTGCTGTGTTTACTGATGTCTGTTATTGATTATTTGTTCATATGATTCAGTTTTCCAGCTTTTTAATTCCTATTTTCTAAAATCTTTTGGAGGACCAGTGTGTAGGATTTAGTGGCATCTAGCGGTGTAGTTGCAACACCCTCGCCTCACCCTCCTGTTCCAAATGTGTAGGAGAAACTACAGCAAGTCAAACAGCAAGAAAAACACAAACAGCCCTACATGTAGAATCTAGGGCTACTGTAGAAACACGAGAGGGCCCACAGTGTCTACAAATAAAAACAGCTCATTCTAGGGTAACACAGGCACAACAATTCTTGATTATACACCAATGAAAACATACCTGTGAATATTATATTCCATTCCTGCCAAAAGATCCTCCTAAATGTTGCACACTGGACATTTAAAAGGGCACTCCACTGATTTTACACATAAAGGTCAGTTTACTCATCATAACTAACAATGTCATCAATGTTAGCTTCAGTCGGGCTTTCAAACATTCGACAGGACACCTGTTTTATTAATTGGGGAATGGAGTTTTAAAGATGAGGGCGTTTAACAGGGAGGGGATGTTTAATCAAAGTTGCATAATGGGAAATGTAGGATCCAGTGTTTTTGAAGCTCGACTCATATTAGGAACATTAGGAACATATTAGGTTGAGTGATTACTTTGCTGCAACAAGTATCCAGTACAGATAATGTACTTTTCACTCGTAAATAAACCAACTTTTATATAAAAAACTTCTTCTATTACTAAAACTACTTCTCTTGTGATCAAAAACATTGCTCTGAAGCTCAATTCTGACGCTGTCCTGTAAATGGTTTTCTAACAAATATAGCAACTTCTGATCAACCCATAACAATTTCAGGCTTAAATGATCAACACCAAGTTAGGCCTGTGCAGAACTAAATAGAGTACCCTTTAATGTCAGAATTTGAATGCCTGTTTCCATCCTGATAAATGGTCAGTGGACACCTGGGACAACAATGAAAAAAAAAATTCACAATTTGAATTTTATTTATACATTATTTATGCTATTCAGAGCATTTTACCAGTTAAGAGATGTAGAGTGCGAAGACCATAGATTGTTCTTCCTCTTCTTTTCTCCTCTCCTGCAGCTATAATCTTCTTGTGAGCTTGTTGGCATCTTCTTATTAGAAGGGGAAGTCTGGACATTGAGTGGCTTGACTGGCATGTGAAACTTGCCTTGTTCTTTCATCCTTTCTCTTTATCATTCCTCCTATATTAACCCTCCCTCCTCCTCCTCCTCCTCCTCCTCCTCCTCCTCCTCCTCCTCCTCCTCCTCCTCCTGCCTCTTGATTGACAGGATTATCAGGAGTCCACCCACCTGGAGCAGTTTGTGACACGCTTCCTGCTGAAGGAGACAACCAATCAGCTTCATTCACTCCAAAGCTCGCTCGAGTGCGCCATGGAAACCACAGCTGAGCAGACCCGCCAGGAGAAGTAAGAGCAAACCTTTCTGGTCCCTCTAACACACACACAATTAGTCATTAAAACGTGGACAAATTGTATTGTGCAATGGCACCCATAATTACAGTTCTCACAGACAGTCTAGCAATTTTGTCCAAACCTCACACACTAATTTACCGCCTACATTTTAGACTTAAATTATGCTTTTATCCAAGGTGGAGTGCAACATCACAGGTTCTTACTCTGTATTAAATATATATAAGACCACCTGTTCTTCCCTGTAATCCAGCAGTTATCTATAATCCTTTATTAATTTTATCACAGTGTAAATCCCCTTCCTATGGGGAATTATATCCAAAGTGGAGGGGGCTAATTAAAAAGGGATTGTTAGAAATAAATAAAAAAAAACTTATAAGGAAGATTATTTTAATGTTCTTCTTTAATGTTTTTGTTTTTCACACTGATGATTTCACCTAATGCTTTAAAGCTGCCCTGATCAATGTCTTACCTTAAGAAAGGCTTCATATAATGTGAAAAGAAAATTATCAACAACTTCTCTGCAGTTCCCTTCAGCTCTGCAGAGCATTTTGTTTTGGATTTACGGTCGACAACTTTACTGTTTTGGTCGACTCTCACCACTCTCATCCGCCTCATCTCCAGTCACGGTCTGTTGATCACATCATGCTTTCTCCAGCTTTGTCTTTGATTCAACAAACATATGCAAATATTTATCTAATAGGTATTTGCACGACAGATCGACAATTAGACTATAATTAATGTGGTTATGATCTGAATATAAGCATCTATATAAATGAAGTGACTGATGATAAACACTCACCCGCTGGCATTCCTTGTGTGTGAGAAGAGCGGCCAGTGGATGATTAAATCTGAGGCACTTCTTGTGTGTGTGTGCGTGTGTGTGTGTGTGTGTGTGTGTGTGTGTGTGTGTGTGTGTGTTGTGTGTGTGTGTGTGTGTGTGTGAATGCTGTACTTGATCAGTCTGCGTCTGCATTCAGAATTTGGGCATGCCTCTGGTGTGCTCGGTTCATTAGCGAGGATGACTCACCAGTATACAAGTGCACACAATTTCTTATGGTGTGTGTGTGTGTGTGTGTGTGTGTGTGTGTGTGTGTGTGTGTGTGTGTGTGTGTGACCCTGCAGGTAATGCCTGTGCTCGTGGTGTATTTAAAGGACAGGTGATGACGCACAATGTTTTTTGTGTACCCTCACCTGTCTGAGTTCACACTTCACGCTGCAGATTTCTCATCTGAGCAGTGATTTGCTGCCAACCCTCCATTTAAAAGTCAACAAAATCTACAATCACTGGATGGAAATGAGAAGCAGCTTTCTAAAATCAAGGACCATTTACTTCAAGTGATTGTTTCAAGAATTTCATGTGGTTGCAAAGGAACAGTCACTTGGGGCAGGTGTTGCCCCTGGTCCGACTTTTTCCCGCTGGCTTACATTGTGAAAGAAACGGCTGTAAAACGGTGGGCCCCGATTGGATCTATTTGGTCCGATAACATTTGGAAAGTCTAAAAGAACCACATGATTAAATCATTTTATCCCCATTCAGTGTTAGCGGAGGGCTAACTGTAAATTAGCCGTCCATTTGGGTAATTTCTTTCCAGCGTGAAGTCCCTTTTTTGGCTTCTTGTGCAAATGAAGAGCTTTTATAGGAATGAACAGAACGCTGTATTTAGTTCTGCTTTAATACATCTATGATACTGACCACTCAACTGCCCCAAACAGACTATCTGACAAGCACATCCACTTCAGGCAGTGACTGCCCCCAATGTGCAAAAGTATACACAAAATTTTAACTCCTCTCTCTCTTTTTTTGTTTTTTGACACAATTACTTCTGCAACATAATAATGCTTTTGCAAGAGTTTAGTTTAAAAACATCCTTGTAGGATTTATGTGCTTTCTAGTCCCTTTTCTCACCATGACCATGTTTACACTTATTCTCAGAGGCAGACAATGATGTGCTTGGATAGTTGACATCCTTTCTTTCCTTTCCTTTCCTCTCCTCACCTCCTCTGAATGCTTCTTCCTCCCATGTTTCCCTCTCATGTCATCTCAAAGTGTGACTGTCCCTCACTCCCAGAGCAGCTCCTTCTCCTCCAGCATCCTTCTCTCAATTGCCTTGAAAAATTCCCCTGCGCATCTAAATGCAATCACACTGTACCTTCAAACATCTAGAGGATCTATCTGTTTCTCTGGTGGCTTTAAATAGGTTTCTGTGGTCAGTTTTATATGTGTGAAGAGGACAAACGGGAGTTGATATTCATAGATGCATGGTATGACTCAGAGCTGAGCTTGAGCTTTGTATTTAAGTTGTGCTGATAAATTCAAAAGTAATATTACTTTCCTCTTGGTAATTTGTTGTTATTTGCCCAATAGATAACCTCAACCATAACAATAAAAACATTTTTATTACTTAATTAAGACAGAAAAGGTCCTGGATCTCCTCTCTAATAATTATGTCCACTTTGCTCTTTGGCTCTCAGCCTCTTCTTCCTCCCTCTTCTTTCACTTAAAGGCTGGAGGAGGATCTGCTGCTGATCTTTGCTCTATTACCGGTCTCAGATGGATTTAGCAATTAATTAAAGTTGCTACGTAGCTGAGAATACAGTATGACTCACTCACAGAACAAGAGGGACCCGCCACCGGTTACTCCTCCGCCATACATCATACACACACATTTGACTGCAGCTAGTGGAGTAATTATACTGCATTTGTCCCAGATGTGGAAAGGAGTATTTAAAATCTCTCATAAGTGACGTCATATGAAGAAACCACAGTCCTCTTAACAAAAGGAGATCATTCTGAATAAGCTGATTAGGATTTAAGTGTTTTAGAAAAAGCATAGTCACAGATCTCACTCTGTATGAGGTGCTGTGTGCTTAAAGCTGAAAAGCCATGTGTTGAATAGATTAAAGATTAAAGGAATAGTGTGACATTCTGGAAGTTAGATTGATACCGCTCTCATGTCTGTGCACTAAATGTGAATCTACAACTATAGCAACTAGTTAGCATTGCTTAGCATAAAGACTGGAAGCAGTTTGATCCACTCAGTCTAATAGTGATTGAATAATTTCATCCTGTTAATGTGTGTAGGGAGCTAACAGGAAGTCAACCAGCTCACCAGCCAGTATAAGTCTCGGATGCATAATTTCTTTCCTATCCGCAGACCCACCTTTCTCTCCTTCTGATTGGCTAGTGTTCGTTACCTTTGTTGGTTTGTTTGATTGGGTTAGGGCAGAGGAAGAGTGGGGTCGGGTCTTTGGGGAGAACGACTCTTGTGTACATGGTTTCACTACTTCCTTTAATAGCCATTAAATAGACGTGTTAGATGGAGCCAGAACCAACAGCTGAATTAAAAACAAACAAGAAAGAAAAGTAATTTTGTGAATATCCTGCATTGATTCTCCTTAAATGTAAACATTAAACATTATTCATAAGTAAAATCATAAGCAATAAACCTGAAAATGTGCAAAAATAGCAGTGGAAACAGTGTGAGGTCTGAACAGGTTGGTAGAGAGCCTCTGCTTTACAAAAAATAAATTATAAAGCACAAACTCTCTCACACATATAAACACGTGCATTCACCTGCACACAGACACACACACACACACACACACACACACACACACTCACAGACTCCCACGCCCTGAGGTCTTATCAAAATATTGGACCAAACAACTTGACAGCACTAAGATAAATCTTAGGTGATGTCACCCTGCGGTTGCATGTAGCTACCTTGTCACAGGCATTAGCATCGCTGTCAGACCAACACAAATATAACGTAAGCGCAGACAACTTCAGGCTTACTGATTTTTTCTCAGCTAAGACGTCAGTAACCGGGTGCAAAAATGAAAGAAAACAAAAAATATAGTCAATTAATTTTAGGTGCATATCTCAATCCATTGAATGTGAAAATTACAAGTTATTCCTCCTCTTTATTGCTCAAGAGTCTGAGTATATACATGCAATAAATTGTTCGAATTGCACTTTAAATAGTTAATTGAATTACAAAGTCACATTTATTTTTGAGAGTCAGAGGAAACCAAATACAAGAGAATAGAATATTTTTTGTGGGACCCATCTGCTCTTTGGTGAGCGCAGTGAACAACAGAAACCACAGAACAAAAGGTCATTTGATGTCAATGTTACACCAGCTTTTATGCGGCTCATGCCGTGTGTCCTGCGGGACAACAGTTGCAACAATGTAAAAGAAAATATGTAAAAATATTGTGATGTCTGAATAATTATCTCCTTGTTTTGACTTCAGACAGGGCCCGTTGAAGCCAGAGGTTTTGTCCATCCAGTGGTCGGGTCGTCGCTCCAATCGGAGGCTTCAAAGGAACAGCAGCCTCTCTCCCAACAACCCTCTCCTCAGTCTCGTCAATTCAGGTGGCTTTATATGCTACTGCTGTTGGAGTTCATTTAATTGTGCATCCTGTTGTGTTTCACAACCCTCCGCTCCACCGAGTTATGTTATCTTGCCAGCCGCAGAAAAGCTGCTCAACCAGAGTGAGTGTGTCTCCACAGGCCGGAGAGACGAGCAAAGGAGGGGAGGGAAGGTTGCGTAGGTGTGAGGGAGAAACTGGAGTGAGGTTCAGAGAGAGAGAGAGAGAGAGAGACAGAGAGAGAGAGAGACTGAAGAGGAGAGTGAGCGTGTGTTCTCATGTGTGTCGATCCAAAGCAATTGAATGCTTTGGCACTTGGAACCTGATAAAGAAATTACCACAGAGTTCTTATGGAGGTTCTCCTCCTGAGCACTTGGAGTCCTTCACTCACAAAGTAAACCGTTATTATTCTATACAGACATACTGTATGTACGTAATGTTTGCTTGGCTGTGCATGCTGATTTGATGCCACGTTACATGATGTTAATGTGAATGTTAATTTACTGATACTACAGTTTCCAAACACTCGTGTATTTTTGTAAAGACAACTTTGAGATTGAGGGTCATATAAATGACTTCCATTATGGTGGATAATAAAGTTGATTTGTATTATATTTTCAAATAAAATATGATAGGTATAAAACTAAATAGGTCAAAGAGAAAAATTTAATAATATAACACTTCATGAACACCATATACTGCTGGTCAAAGCAGCATCTGGAAGCCATGTTGAACATTTCCAGCTCCTGGGTGATGGATATTTATGAGTCCTCCCATCCAACATAGTTATGGGTTCAGACAGAATCTTATCTTAACATTAACCTGAATGTTAACATATTCAATTAATACCTAAATGTAACAGTCCCATGGCTTTGATCTAGAAATTACCATTTGTAATATATAATAACTGATTATTAGAGTTTAGTCAGATAATCACAGTGTGTAACTGTATAACTCTGGTTATAATGCTTCAACAAAAGAACAAATACAGTTTAAACAGATTGTGTTTTTACATTTTCAATTTCACTGTCAACAGACTTTAAGACAGTTTTTATCTGTTATTTTCAAACAAACCCTTAAAGATTTGACCTTTATCACAGTGTACATTTTGTCTTGTCATAGGAAAAGGCAGAGGCGTTACTAATAACATTAACAATGACTCTGTTTTATTTAAGTGTCCCAGTAAGCCAACCAAATTCTTCTGTTAAAAAGGCTGGTCGGTCAGCTTGTAGCTGTATTATGTGGCCAGCTTGTTATGAGCACCAATTACACAGTATGTACTCATTTTCATAGTATACTGTTGCAAAATATCAGTCCCTCACTTTACCCTTTTGTACCAGGAGGAAAGGACACAAGGCTTTCACTGATACATATCAATTAAACTGACAGACGACCAAATCAACATAGATTTAAACCGTCCACAAGTTGCTTTGTTTCTGATCCTTGAAGGGATTTTTGACGTTTAGAATATACTTTAGTGTGAACCATTGACAGTATATATAATGGACTTCCGGGTCTGAAAATTGAAGTGAGTCTTAAAACTTGCATTCTCTGTAAAGGCCAGCAGGGGTCGCTCCATTGACTGCAATAACACAGCGATCCCATTCACTTTAATGGAGAATGAGCCGACTTGTCACTTAATTTATGAGCTCAGTAAACAGTTTCCTAATGAGTTTATGGTCTCAGTGGCTAGTTTAACAACTTCTTCCGAACATTATGATGTTCATTTAGTAAATGATGGTCCAATTTAGAGTCAAATAGACGATAAAGTCACAAATGCTTTTGGGCGGGGCTACCTTTTGATTGACACGTCACTTTCAGAGTCTGTCAAACTAGGAAGTGCTGATCAAATACGAAGCTAGAATCTGTTACTGCGTTGCCTATTTCTCGCTTAAAATTGTTTCAGAAACATATTGGTATGTTTAAGTTGCAACATAACAATTTCTTTAGTCCTGTAGACACACTTTACTGCCTTAAAACCTTTTTAGCAGATTCACTTCTTGCGTCTTCCTTTTATCTGATGAATAGACCTGTTTCACAGCAGCCATTCTGACATAAAATAGTAGGGTAAACACAGGTGTTCCATTTAGTGCAGCAGAGCCTTTCCACTGAGACGACATGCTCAACAGCAGCAAACTGACTGTGTTTGACCTGAATGGAACTGATCCTTAACCAAAAACTGTGTTTACACCTGTGTTAACTATTTCATTTGTCTCTTTATTCTCACCACAGCAGTTTTTTTTTCACTTATTTCTATTTTCCCAGCCCCGGTTTTGTTGTATGTATTTAACAGCTGTTTGCATACAGTCACTTTTCCATTAGGCCTCCATTATGACACCAGCTGTGGTTGCTAGGAGATTTGTGACACATCTGCAGAGACTCTATAAACTTCGATTACAGGCCTCAAAGCTTTTTCTATTGATTGGCGTGGTTGGGCGTTGAATTACATGAAAGGAATGTCTTCTAGCACACCGCCACTATTTTAGAGTACTCAGTTCAAACAATCAATAGAGTAAAATGTGTTTAAAATACAGTCGATGTATGCAGCACCTTTCATCCCTTCACCTTTGTTGTTTACTCTCTCTGTCTTTGTGACTCTTCACTAGGTGTTTATGATGAAGACGGCCAGTGGATGATCCAGGTCAACAGACTGCAGAAGCTTATCGACCGTCTAGAGCAAAAGGTGACTTCCTTCCCTTCAACCTTTCCGCGCTCTCATTTCCTTCTGGCGTTCTTCCTCTTCTCTCTTCAGCTTCTGTTATTTTTATCTTCGTCTGTCTCCTCTCTCCGTCCCGGCCATCTGGTCTTTACATCGCTCTCTCAAATTAACCACAAATCATGGCACGTGAACTCAACAACAATATCAACAAATTACCTTGACTCAACAACACCCTCCCACGTACAAACACATACACATATGTAGAGTGTACGGGGAAAGCTGCTATCTGCATGTGTTGACTGTAGCATGAAATCTGTCGACACATTATGGTGCATGAACTTGAATGAACCCAGAAAAGCTTTGACACTTTATTGGATTGATTTATTTTAGTTTGATCCATTAATTTTATGTGATCAATGAACCAATCAGTCACTTTGTCCCCAAAGGGCAGTTGGTTGTGCAGCAGAGAAACAAGAACACGTACTGTAAATACATCATACTGTTTAAGTACAGAGTGAATATACACATAAAAATACATTACAGGAAAAACGTTAGTCGATGGCACATAATATGAGTTTTTATATCTGTGGTTTTTGGCTAATTGGGCCAAAAAACAAGTTCTTATTAGCAAAAAAAATGGTAAAAAACTGAACAGCAAACCAACAACAGGTGTTATGAATAATTCAATTCAATATAATATTTATGATAATGTTCATAAGATTGATTTCTATCAATATATTTATAGAAATATACTTGTCCTAATAATTATCATTATAGTATTATCCACTTACTTCTATTTCCTTCTATTATTCTCTTTCCTGTTAGTTAAATTATTTTCAGTACTTTTATTATTTTTTATTGATTGATATATTTGATTTTTAAGTTCTTGTTTATTTTGATTCTTCATTTCCAACCTGGGGTTCAGGTTCTTTACAAGGGATTAAAAGATAAATCTGAGGGTTTATGAAATTATTAATGAGAGGAAAGTAGAAAAAATATATTTGTACTCCACAAAGAAAGTTTACTTTTATAGGCTGTCTTCGAGTCTTCTAAAATAAATAGTAAGTAAGTAAACTAATGGCTAATTGTACAAGAAAAGAAATTCCAGTAGAAATATGTGATCTGTGACAAGAGTCGTAAGTAGGCATTGATTTAATTAAAGGGCTAATAAGCCAAAACGTTTTGGAACGGCTTTGATAGATAATAGGTATATAGGTATAATATGATAGAACAACAGCTATAATCAATATTTTTATATTAAAATATGGATCATATTTCTGCTGCCTCCAACTGGCCAGATGTTGCAGATTTAATACATTAAGATAACGATTGTTTAAATTCAGTAAATGTGCTGTTGAATTAACAGACTGTGTCACTATCAGAGCTTCATACCATTGTGTATTTGTTCTGCAGGAGATTCGTATGGAGCCCGTTGAAGAGGAGGTCTTGGAGAGCAAATCGGTCAGTTTTTATCTACTTTTTTCCGCTGCGGTGACCGCTCTGTGTCTCTCTGTGTCACACTGTTCTCACGTGGTGGAGTATTATTGAAAGGGAGGCCACACTGATAATAACCACTCAGCGGTTGTCATAGCAACAGCAGGGCTGAAACCTGACAGAGGCGTATTCCCTTCTTCCTTTGTCTGTCCTTATCTTTAATCTTTATTCAGTTTTTTAAGACAGGACTCACAGCTCAGAGGATATGTGGAGGTTTATTCAGAGTGACCCTTACAGAAAGCCATTACGAAATAGCTTCACATCACTTTACCCTGATGTGTTATTGCCAATATAATCACATATTTGCAGTATTAATACTATAATAACAGGACATTTGTTTTCTGTGTGTAAACCTACTGACAAATGTCCTCTAGGCTTGTGTGCAGTGTGCTTGTGTGTGTGTGTGTGTTTTTTTAACTATGCATACACAGTGTGCAGGTGTTTATGTGCATATGTTTAACCTCAGAGGCCACAAGCCAAAGCAAAGGGACAGTGTTATTTCCGCCCAGGCTTCGTAACACTCATTTCATGGCTGAGAAACTCTCTGTAGCTGACAAATGACTCAGTGACAATCACAGCAGACCAACACAAACAGTCACAGGAGGATTTCTCTTTAGTATGAGTGGCTTCCATCACAGACACATGAGGAGGAGAAGGGAGGTTTTACTTTTGTATAGTTTATAAATTAATAATTGTTTCCAAATTAAGGAATCCAAAAGAAATTATTAACAGTATTATTTTGGAAAATATTTCATTAATCAGATATTTAAGACAAAAAATTTAAATATTGTTGACGATTAACATGCATAAAAGGGTAAGTTAATTAAAAGGAAATGTGGGAGAAAAAAAGCACATGATTTCACGTGTTTCTTGGACATTTCACGGGTGATAAATTCACATGATGTAGATGACAGCGGTGGGTTTGTGTAATTAATTTGATTTGTAACATTTAATACCACCATATCATTAAGAGAGGCATGCAAACTAGGTACTTTGCTTCATTTTAAACAAAGTCTGAATTTAACAGCTTTAGCTTGTTTGACCAAAACAGATTTGTGTCTCACAAACAAATAGAGATTTTATTTTGGGGGAAAAACATTAAAAATTGAACTATAACTGAGGCAGGCCATTGTTTACCTATCAACTAAATCTGCTGTCTCGTAGTAGAACATATACAATGTGAAAAATGACATCTGCTCATCAGAAACAACCTTATAAAAAACCTTTTTTATTGAAAGGAAAATAATTGAAAACATAAGGGCCTGCGTTTCCACCACACACCTGCGTCCCATCCCCCAATGAATAATGTTCAAAAAACTGTCCAACTGCTGAAGACTGGCATGTGATGAATCATATCGTGATGATAATATCATTTTACAGCAGCTGCATCTTCTTGTACAAAAGCAGGAAAAGTTCTGATTTTACATCTGAAATATGATCTTTCTAAAGCTGCAACTAACAGTTATTTTAATTATTGTTTTATCTGCCAATTTTTCTGGCTGTTCTATTCATTTTTTTGCCCGTAAAATGTGAGAAAATATTGAAAAGAATGTCCAGATTTGTCCAGATGAGAACGTTTTTCCAGCCAGGAGTCCAAGAAGCCAAAGAGAGTTCACAGTGAAAAAACAAACAGAGAAGATCTGCACATTGGAGAAGCTGCAATCAGAGAGTTGTTGATATGAAATCGTTAATCCCACACGCTTAATCAGTACGTACCAGACGTTTCATAGCACAGCCGTAATGAAACCACACATATGAATATTACATATCAATGTCATATCTCAATCACCAGCTCGCCGCAGACGTGTCAGTTTGTGTGTGAATTAATCAATATGTAATTGGTATATGTCAGTGGGGATAAACGTGGTGCAGAGAGAAAACCAGTCGTGACCCACAACACTGACGTCCGATGCTGTGATGGCGTTTGTGAGTCTGTTTACATGCATGAGTGTCTCCTAGTGTGTGTGAGTGTTTCTCCCAAATTAGAGAGAGTGTCCTGAGGCAGTTTATCAGTCACACACACATCATTAACACGCACACACACACACACACACACACACACACACACACACACACACACACACACACACACACACACACGCGTGCTTCAGGCCAATGGTCAGAGCATTCACTTCCTGTTCCCATCAGCCTCTCTGCCTCTGTCAACAATTCCTCACCAGCCGCAGGAAATGATTAGCTGGCTTTCTGTTGTCATGATTATGTCAGTTTCTCCTGGTTTTTTTTTTTCACACCTTCTTACCACAACACAGAGACGCTTTAGGGTTTAAGAAGAGAGAACAAAACGCATTCTTATGTTAATCTTCTTGGTCATGTGGTTGGATCACACTGGCGCACATAGGTTGGCTAATCTGTAACGAAGCTGATTCAATTTATATAATAAAATAATAACTTTATTGATCCTATGGGGGTTAATTAGTTCGGAGAAGCTTCACATACAAAAAACATATAAATATATATACAAACAAATAAATGATACAAGAGTGCAAAGTGTGGAAGAGTTCTGATACCAGGATATTGAATTATAGGCAGTGGTGGAATGTAACTAAGGACATTTACTCTGTAGTATTGCTGAATTAATTAGGCAATTAATGGATCTGACAGTAAATTCATGGGCAACTGTTCTGATAATTGTTTCAGTCTTTTTTTCATGCAAAAACATTTCATGGTTGCAGCTTCACAAATGTTAAGATTAGCTCTTTTAATTATTTTTTGGTCTGGTTTGAACAGTTGGTTTGATCAAACAAGCGTTGTGAAGGTGTCACTTGAGACTGTTTGTTACAAACCAAACAATCATTTGATTAATGGAGAAAATAATAATCAGCAGATTACTCCATAATGAAAACAATCATGAGTTACAGTCCTAAACAAAACTAGCTCCACTAACTCCAACAGTAAACTCCTGCTTTTATATGAATGCATGTGTAATAATAAATTCTATACTATAAAATAACAGTCTTTTATACTTTTAATACTTTAAGAACATTTTCCTGATTATATTTTCAAACATTTTCAATGGAGGACTTTCATTTGTAGAGCGTGGTATTACCGTATTAGTATTTATACTTAGATTATTATAGTTATAAATAATCATATTATAAAGCCCAGTGTTCACCTCACAGCTCTGCATTCATCACCAGTTTTCTGGCGACACACTGAGCTAATGTGAAACCCTGCCAGAAGATTTCTGAGTGTCCCCCACCTCCGCCAGACTCTCCCCGCCAGAGGCAAATCCCGACCTTCTGACTTTGCGTGACTTTACATGTTTTTGTCTTCACAGCACATCCTGATAGTCCAGAGGCAGCTCTCGGTGCTGGAGGAGGAGCTGGAGGAGTTTCGTTTGGCTCTCAGACAGTACATGGAGTGTGCCTGTGCCCAGACTGGATGTCTACAGTCAGTTTATATTCTCTTTGTTCTCATGATAAGATATTTTTATTCTTCCTAGTTAATGTTTAACATGTCTGCAAAGGCATTTATGAAGAAGGGCAGGGAAATAAAAAGAGACATCCAAAGGAAAAAGTAAAGACCAGAGCAGGAAATGTAACATTTAACATTTAGTTAGTTTATTATCTGTTGTTTAGATGCTGTTTATAGATTGTAAAGCCTTCTGAGGCTGAATTTGGGATTTTGGGATACATATTCATCCCAAGACTAAAATATTTAGTTTTACATGTAGTAATACATTTGCTTTCCAGGTATTATCCTGATGCTTTTTCAGCACATTATATGTCTTGACATGAACATAAAACACAATACATCTATTTCTTTGTGCCTTCAACACAATGGACACTTTGGTTCTCTGTGAGTGAATGTGTACATGTTAAACATATTGTATTCTGTAACTTTATCCAAACAAGACAAGAGATCTTGTTCATATACATATATAAAAGCCATTCACCTTGGTATCATTTGGGACAAAAACTTTCACTTATTTTTATTTTATTTTTTATAGTTGATAATAAAATAAGGAGAGATGTTTTGTGACATACACAGACTCCATTAATTAACTTATTTAATAGCTTGCATGCTCTGCCCATGCAGTCATTTTGGATGTTTAAGGAAATTCAAGTTGTCAAATGTGAGAAGGAAAGTCCCTCAACTACTAAGAACATTTAACTTACAGAAACAACACGTTTGTGCTTATTGCATCTGTCACATTAATCACCCCCTGTGCAGCTTACAGTTTAGAGCCGTGCTCTTCTTTTTATTATGAATGACACCAAGAATCTAGAGTGCAAGGTCTGTAAGTGTTTCATTTATATCATAAACTCTCTGAGAAATCTTGATGAGACTATGAGCAAAGTCGAACTGATCATGAAACTTTAAAACAGTGTTCATCTGTGAAATGGCTCTGAAGACAAGCTCTGGCTTCAGTGTAGCATCAGACACATCAGGTCAGTAGATGAAGGAACTTTCTTTTTCTCCGGCGAAAGACTTTCAGATATCCGCTGTTTCACCCTTTGACACTTCAACTTCAGCCTAAACTGTCACATTGGTGTCCGACTTAATCCAGCAGCCTAAAGGACAGCGTAACATTTACATGCTTTGTCATGACCATTTTCTCTAACTGCTCAGTCATGTTCAAGCTCAAATGAGACTAAAACCTCTGACAAACACTATATAATCATAAATTCAGGACACAATTCAGAGAGAGGCAGTGCCGGGGGACATGATGTAACACACTAATTAGCGATTGCATGACTTGTGCTCTCTCTTGTTTTGCATTTGGCAGCATCGCAGTTCAGCGGCTGGCAAATGAATCACGCTTCATTCTCTATGAATTCTGGGAGCACAAC